ACCGAGTAATCTGCATCGGCATAATGACTGTAAAATGTCTAACTTCAACTATTAGCAAGTAAAGGTTCTCGATTGGAAGAATCCAACCACAACGTGTCAACAACTGACAATACGCCTCGTACCACACACAAACGTAATCATCTGTTAAGAAGCTAGACATCTGAAACGAATCAGTTTTCACCCTCAGCCTGGTACCCTGAGTTAATTATCAAACGGTGCTCTGTTTGTGGTGGTCTATCTTGAGAAAGGTCAGAACATGTTCCACAATAAACAGCTAATTCCGTAGGTAGAGAGGTCACGAATGTAATGATTTGCAAGTGTGAGTACTATGCCACAAGGAAGCGCAGAAAGGCGATTCACAGCCGCGGAAATGCGCCAGAAAACGTTTCGAACGGGCGTCAAACCCCTGAACAGATTGCTCTACTAACGCTGCCATGACGACTGTTTGGCGGAAAACTGGGATAACTGAAAACGGATATCTCCTGAAGCAACTGCTCGCTACACAAGAGGAATAACAAAAACTTAAAATTAATGAACAAATAAATACACACATGAACGAATGAAGGAAGCAAGAAAGGAATGAGTGAATGCATGACGAATAAGCGAACAAATGAACATCAGAACGAGACAACAAAAGCGTATTTTCTCTCGAATATCTACGGGAATTCGTGATGCGGCTTCAGTGATATGGTAGGCGCCATAATTAGTACATTTCACAGTCTTCGATCTTGATACATAAACCGTTACGTTGATTATTACTATTTTCATTACTGGTGATCCATGACATCTACTGAGCGGGTCATTTGTAAAGTTCCCAATATACCTGGCATAAGGAGAAAGGAAGAAAGATCGATCGCATGATCCCAATAATCGCTGGAAACTAAGCTTTAAAAGAAAGTAGCATGACATAAATCCAGAATGTAGCGAAACCTACTTTCGATGTTCTTTGTCAACCGTCCGGATTCGCCGTACTCTTGTTTCTAGTAGCCTGAAGAGAGGAAGAGAAGTGTTTAAGCAGGCCGTGACTCCACGGCATTTTAGCACGTACAATTCATTGCCGTAAATCAGCACCACAAAAACCAACACATATAATTTTGATGCTTTTCTCGAAGCATCGAAAAAGGGAACTAACTGATGAAGTAATAATTTCTTATGCACAAGACATGAATCTGGCAAGTGAAATGCCGAGACATGTTGTGTATATGCAATGCACATTGTAAGCGACGATCCTGTTTTATTTGCATCAGCACTCACCGCCTACTAAAATTAGTGGTCTGTCAGTCTAGTGGTTTAATGGTCAATCGATCTTTGATGGTCTGCAGCCGAAAAAACCTTTTGAACTGTAGAAGTCAGTGTCGTGCAGAGAGGATCCTTAATGGTAAATGATGGCAGTGATAGCCAAACCTAACGCCTACCTAATGATCTGTATTATAGACATATAACCAAACTCTTACGAAGACTTATAGTTAAATTAATAACAGTCAACAACCCATAGCTATTGCTTATGAACTCATAACCAATTTCGAAACATTTGCATTCCTGCATAATCAATCACGTACTTAGCTACATTCGAAGAATATATATCTTAAAATAATGGTGATCTATATTTCAGTCTACCCTCTGATCATTTGTGCAGCACGTGAATAATCTTAACATAGTTCCTTTCTTAAATCAAGCCCATTTTATGTGAAAACCTCATCTGAACAACAGCTTCAACGGAGATCATAAAAGTAGTGCAGAAAGTGAACTTGGAGAAGGTCCACGCCATGTGTCACAAACGCGTGACTCGTAAACCGTGGAAATCAGTAGACTTAAGCTTGAAAGGTACAGAACGACGTCTACCTGAAGTATCTCATCTTTGCAACGGCGATCCGCCTCTACCAAATC